TCATGACTTTTCCTACAGGTCAGTTTGTCCCTGAACACCACACGCTGCCCGGTCATAAGTCTCACCTGATGGCTCCGGATCACCTGGGAGGAATCGAGTTCGACATCCAGCTGCTGTGGAGCGCTCAGACCTTCGACTCTCCGTATCAGCTGTGGAGAGCAACCAGCTCCTACAGCAGGTCAGATCCCAGAGTCCAGGTTAACGTTCTGTATTCATCAGGGGCGCACGACATGGACTGGACAGTGATGTCACGGACTGGACAGTGATGTCACGGACTGGACAGTGATGTCACGGACTGGACAGTGATGTAGAGAGTGATGACGGTTTTATTTGGTCTTCATCAACAGGAAGGATTATTCAGGAGAGTACACGGTGTTCCTGATCCCGTGCACCGTTCAGCCCACTCAGCCCTGGATCGACCCTGGAGACAAACCGCTGTCCTGCACCGCCCACGCTCCAGAGAAGTATGACCCTGATTCAGTATAACTGATTATATTTAAAGGCTCCAGATGCATCATGGGACAGCAGCTCAGCTGACCCTCTCCTGTTCCCCCATCAGGTTTCTGGTGCCCATTGCCTTCCAGCAGACCAACAGACCGGTTCCCGTGGTCTACTCTCTGAACACAGAGTTTCAGCTGTGTAACAACGAGAAGGTGTTCATGATGGACCCGGCCACCGCCGACGTCTCCATGGCCGAGATGGACTACAAGGGCGCCTTCTCCATGGGTACGTCAGTCAGGGTTAAAGTATGAGGAGGGACCCGAGCTGGACCAGTTCAAACAGACTTTTTTACAGTAAATAACATGTGGTTGCTGTAAAGTGTCAAAGTACTGAATCTCAGTCTGTGCTGCCCCCTGCAGGTCAGACTCTGTACGGCAGGGTGCTGTGGAACCCGGAGCAGAACCTGAATGCAGCGTACAAGCTGCAGCTGGAGAAGGTTTACCTGTGCACAGGTAGAGATGGATACGTTCCCTTCTTTGACCCGACGGGGACGCTGTACAACGAGGGTCCGCAGTACGGCTGCATCCAGCCCAACAAACACCTGAAGCACCGCTTCCTGCTGCTGGTAGACGCAAACATCTCTCCTGTCTGCATAACCCTGACCCCAGCCCCCCTCCCTGACCCCCCTACTCCCCCTCAGCTGTTTATTCAACCCTGCCCTTTGACTGACACACCCACACACACACACACACACAGACAAACTGCTGTTGTAAACCAGTTGAACCAGTCTGCCCAGTGTCACGTGTCAGTGGGATGGTCCAGGATGTTTTTCAAACACAGTCAGAGTGAGTGTCACCAGCCCTGCTCAGACCGCCGTCCAGCGTGAGTGTCTATTCACGCCCCGCTTTGTACCGTCTTTAGAGGCGTTACAGAGGAGAGAGGGGATCAGCTGAGCCAGCAGAGGAGAGAGTGTGTGCGTGCGTGCGTGCGTGCGTGCGTGCGTGCGTGCGTGCGTGCGTGCGTGCGTGCGTGCGTGTGTCTGACTGTGTGTGTGTGTGTGTGTGTGTGTGTGTGTGTGTGTGTGTGTGTGTGTGTGTGTCCGTGTCCGTGTCTGACTGTGTGTGTGTGTGTGTGTGTGTGTGTGTGTGTGTGTCCATGTCTGACTGTGTGTGTGTGTGTGTGTGTGTGTGTGTGTGTGTGTGTGTCCGTGTCTGACTGTGTGTGTGTGTGTGTGTGTGTGTGTGTGTGTGTGTGTGTGTGTGTGTGTGTGTGTGTGTAGCTCCCAATATGCCGTGCTGAGGATGCAGCTGAAACACAATATGACCTCACAGACTGGGACGCCAATACTACACAATCACAGAATCAATATGAACCTACAGAGTCGTGATGGGGGCGGAGCTTAGTTACAGAGGTTTAGTAAAAAAAAAAAAAGCCGGAAAGGGTCCAGCTGACAGTCAGAGTGTTTTATTCTGTGGAGTCACGATGTTAAACTTCTCCCTCTCTCCCTGTAGGATCGTAAGCAGCCCGACGTCTGTGACAAGTTTTTCCACGACGTTCCTTCGAGGCTCATTTGGCCTCGGACGTCCCCGAGCTGCACGCCGTGAGCGCCATGCCGGGAGTCGATGGCTTCACCATGAAGGTCGACGCTCTCTACAAGGTGGGTGGAGCCACAGCACAAGGCATGCTTCAACCTTAAAGATTGTAATGGCTGGCGGTTAGACCGGAGCTGTAAGCACAGGTTGCATTGTGGGTAATGTAGTCTCTCTGATGCAGTGATTTATTTTGATGAGAGATGTCGGACAGCATGTTGAATTCTGTGGTTTCATGATGTGGCCGATAATATTTATATATCCTTCAGGACAGTCACTCAACTCTCCTCTCTCTTGTGATTGACAGGTGGAGGCGGGGCATCAGTGGTACCTGCAGGTGATCTACGTGATTGGTCCAGAGTCTCGGTCCAGCCCGAGGATTCAGCGCTCAGTGACGTACGAGCTGAGCCGCGTCAGGCGTGACCTGGTGGACCGCAGCGGGCGTCTGACGCTCGACGAGTCTTTGATCTACGACAACGAGGGCGACCAGGTGAAGAACGGTACCAACATGAAGTCACTGCGCCTGGAGGCGGGGCCTTCAGGCACCTTCAACGCCCATATGGGCAGCACAGTGGGAGGGGGCGTGGCTGCCGTCACCCTGTTGGTCCTGGTCGTGCTGGCTTCCTGTTTCGTGTTCCGCCGCTGCAGACGTGCCGCTTTGAAGACGAAGATGGCGGAGAAATCGTACGAGGAGTATCCGCTGAACACCAAGGTGGAGGTGTGTATGGACAAGTGTATGGAGAAGAACTTCAGCTCCAAACACTGCACCGTCAGGAACATCAACATCCTGAACCGCCAGCAGGAGCCCCGCCCCAAAGTCAAACAGGTGAACCTGGAGGTGAAGCTGCAAAACAACCTGAGCGACGGCACAGAGGTCTGAGGAGAGGAGAGGAGAGGAGAGGAGAGGAGAGGAGAGGAGAGAGAAGGAGACAGGAGAGGAGAGGAGAGAGGAGGAGAGGAGTGGAGAGAGGAGAGATTAGGAGAGGAGAGGAGGAGAGGAGTGGAGAGAGAAGGAGACAGGAGAGGAGAGGAGATAGAAGGAAAGAGGACTGAATTAAGTATTTTCTAGAAGCGTTTGTACCTGCATATTGTATTTTTTTTTAACCACTTTTAAAAAGGGAAGAGAGAGAAGAAGAGTTTTCTCATTTAGCCGCGTTAGCCGCTGACTCAGGAACCACAAACGGTCATCTTCATCTTGTTTATTTCACCCGTTTGATATGAACGCCGTCTGTAGATGGTCGCTCACTCACTGCTGATCGTCTCTGCTGCGTTCAGTCATTTCACTGTTTTAGTCTCCACTGTGGAGTGTTAGCCTGAGAGGAGGAGCTCCTGTTCTCTGAAGCCTCTTTCACACATCACTCCTGACGCCTTCTGGATCATCGGGACAATCAGGCCCAGATACATTCAGGGTTTCATCGTTTGTGCTCGCAGCTCAGAATAATCCATTCACTGAACCCTCGTCACCGTTCAGCACGTTGCAGGAGGAGGACTGTTCAGTAAATATTAACATGTATAAAGATCCTGGACACATCTGAGGCGAGCAGTATGCAGAGTATAAAGCAGATAAGCTCCGCCCATCATGAACAAGTCATCGCCCCACCCACTTGTTGGCCCTGGATGTTCCAGACTTTTTACAGGAGTCTGCAGATAACCGGCCCCCTTAAAGTGGAGCTGAAACATTGGACATGCAGCCGGATCATGAGTGCATGTGTGAAAGAGGCGGAGCTTCTCCTGTGGAGCGACGTCTTCACGGGGCTGCAGCTGCTTCTGAGAGCTGTGAGCGTTAAACACACGCACACGGCGAGCTGCTGACGTCCGAGGAGGAAAGAGGACAGAGTGAAATATACGGCGGCAGAGAGTGGCGATCAAAACCTGCAGGGGGCGCTCAGAGCAACAGGCTGCAGGGAGGTGGATCGTCCCTCTCAGCCACCGTAGACATATGAACAAACATGAACGATACCTATCAAAGTGCGATTATGCCGTAGCTTTAGTCACGCATGAACTTTATTTTTTTCAAACTTTGAAACGTTTTCGTGTCTCGTCAGACGAGACGACAAGGATCAGCTGACAGGAAAACGTGCCGCGCAGTATTCATGGTTTCAGTATCAACAATCAAAGTGTTTCTGTGTCTCAGTGTGATCGTCGATGTCTGAGAGCTTCAGCCTTAACACTCATCATCATCATCACTTTTTAATACGATGTATTTTATAGTTTTATAACGAGTGTCTTCCTGCACAAACACAAAAACTCCTCACTCTTTTTATTAACCCGCTCGCATCTTTTTTTCATTTTTATTTGATATATTCTTCTCTCATGATTTTCTCATTATGTTTTATGTTACCCTCGACTACTGATGTGAACGTTACTGTATGTCTGACACTGGTTACAGAGCACTGAGACGGGTTTTAACGAGTGTGTGTGTGCGTACGTCAAGGAGTGTTGACGTGTCAGATCTGCCTCCTGTATCTTTAAACGTGCCTCAAACATCCAATCAGGAGCTGTGCTTGTTTGGGGGATGATGAAATATTTAACAATATATTTTTGGTGCTATCATTTTATGGAGAATAACCACGATGTTTTGGACATGAAGCAAGTATCTGGTGCCTTTTTTAGTAATAAAAATGGAAACATGAAAATGTTCTGAGTTTGGTGTTTTTATTTTTGTTCTTTAAAGGCTTTATATGTGATTTTTTGATCCAGCAGATGTCGCCCTTGAGCACCAGCATGAAACCAAAACAACTTGCGCTGCATTGTTGTGTTAGCATGCTAATGCTAGCGATCTTTATTCTGCTGGTATCTTCACACTGCATGTAAATTTACCTGAAATGAGCGTGATCTAGAAACACAGTGAAGCAGTGAGTACAGTATGTTATTCTTCTTTTCTCTAGTCCTTCAATTAAACAACTTTTATACGTGAGGGGAGGAGTCAGCTGGCCGTCCCGGCGATGTAAACAAAGTGAAGATAGGACTCTGAAAACATCACAGACAGTGGGACTCGGGTGTTACACCCATTGTAGACAGTCATGACTCACAGTTATTTTCAGAGGATATACTTGATTTCTACATTTAAGTGTGAAAAACCGCATATAAAGCCTTTAAAGAGCTGCGGTGAATGTGAGAGGACTGTTGTTTCTAGTGACACTGGTGGACGTTTGGTGAACTGCAGGGAATATCAGGTGCATCTGCAACAACAGGATGTGTCAAAATAAATAAGTTAGTACTCGATCAAACGAGCAAAGTTAAATATGAACTCGGTAAGAAGTCTGTGCAGGTTCTCCGACATCCAGGTCACGGTGAATTAACTTCATCCAAAGGCAGCTGGACCTGGTTGAAGATATGGACACAGGTGAGACTAAAGAGACAGGTGAGACTAAAGACACAGGTGAGACTAAAGACACAGGTGAGACTTAAGAGACAGGTGAGACTAACGAGACAGGTGAGACTAAAGACACAGGTGAGACTTAAGAGACAGGTGAGACTAACGACACAGGTGAGACTTAAGAGACAGGTGAGACTAAAGACACAGGTGAGACTAAAGACACAGGTGAGACTTAAGAGACAGGTGAGACTAACGAGACAGGTGAGACTAAAGACACAGGTGAGACTAAAGAGACAGGTGAGACTAAAGACACAAGTGAGTCTAAAGAGACAGGTGAGACTAAAGACACAGGTGAGACTTAAGAGACAGGTGAGACTAACGACACAGGTGAGACTAACGACACAGGTGAGACTAAAGACACAGGTGAGAAATCTGAAGAGAAAAACAGACAAGCTCCTCTACAGAATGAATGTATGTATGAAATTTACCAGCTGTGCCTGAAGGCAGCACCTTCTCTGTATAGGCAGAGTGGGCGTGGCCAAAGGACTCTCAGGTAGATTTCCACAGAGCACAGGTGTGGCGGAACAAGTTTCCTGTTCAGACAAAAATCAGGTGAGTTTCAGCTTATCTTCTTCTTCGCTCACATTTGTTCACTTTCTTTGATTCCTGTTCATGTTGTTTTTATTTTCCTTCACTATCAGCTGATTCAACGTTAAATACAAGGGTAGGAGGTTTGTTCAGGTGAAGCAGGTTGATCATGACATCATCATCAGCTGAGTGACACCTCACTTTAACTTAATGTCTTGAAACAGGTCGATAGATTTCCTTAGATTGTGACAGTATCTTTATCCCTCCACTCTGAACCCGTCAGTACTTCTCTCAGATCGTACCTGCCTCGATATCACCTCTCAGTTTTTAAGAAGCAGAAATAAATTATTACAGTCAGCTGATCACGAAGGTAAATAAAGTGATGAGTCATCGAGAGAAACTTTAATGCTTAAATTAACAAATGTTGTTTCATTGTTAATAAAACTTTTCAGACCAACATCACTATCGGTACTTTGTTTTAATCAGGATTAAGGGTTTGTATTTAAAGGTGACATATCCTCCTCCTCTTCTTCAGTGTAAATAAGTCTCAGAGCTCCTCAAAACATGTGTGTGAAGTTTCTTGTTCTAAATTCACTCTGATCCTGTATTTGGTCATGTTTATAAACCCCTCTATTTCAGCCCTGCTCAGAACAGACTGTTTCTGTGTCTGTACCTTTAAATATGTAAATGAGCTATGTCTGACCACGCCCCCTCTCTGGAAGTGCTAGGGTGTCTCTGGCTTTCTTGCTCCATGTCCTATTGTTTACGGTGAGAAGGAGAGGGTGGAATTTTGGATTTTGCATCATATGTGACCTTTAAAGCAACAGCATCTAGGATTCAGTTTAAGAGCACTTTGGCGCCCACTGAAGGTCTCTGAGTGAAACTGCAGTGTCATAAAACACACACAGTGCTGTTAGCTCCTCCCCCTTTGTTGACACTGTGCATCTGTTGACGATCAGAGCTTCTGACGTGATCTTTGTCAAAGTCGGTGTTACCGTATTAAGAGTCCATGTGTTGACAGGTGACTTTCAGCAGAATGAGTCTGTGGTTGTCATGGTTACAACAGATTTTTGTTTTTACAGAGGACCCTCCTGTCATCATCATGGCTTCTTTATGGGTGAGTAACGTTTTCTGTGCTGGGTAAAAATCTCTTTATATAAATTATAAACTCATCAATCATGTTCCACCCAGATGAAACTCTGATCAGAACTTTAACCACCCAAACCCAGGCCGTGTTTGTTAAAGATATTAAAGCTTCAAATCATATGACTCGGTAAGAACACGTGTTTTTATTTCATGGTGAGATTTTAAATCAAACATGTCCGCTGTGCAGGACGACCTGGACGACCTGGTGAACAAACCTTCATCCTTCTCTGCTAAAGTAAGTCCTTTAATTAAAGTGGAAAAATGCTGTCGGAATAACAATTGAATAAAGAAAACATGAATAAAGTCGTGTTGTTCTTCAGGACGGTGAGAGAGGAACCATCAAACCCAAAGCTCACTTTGATGCTGGAGACGATGCTGAGGCTCTGAAGAAGGCCATGGAAGGAATTGGTACGCACGCACGCAATTGTGTGTCCTCGTGTCCTCATTTGTCCTGATGTGTCATGATGAATCCTCATTTGTCCTGATGTGTCCTCTTGTGTCCTCTTGTGTCCTCTTGTGTCCTCTTGTGTCCTCATGTGTCCTGATACATCCTGAAATGTCCTGATATGTCCTCATGTGTCCTCGTGTCCTGTTGTGTTCCAGGCACCAATGAGAAGACTCTGATCGACATCCTGACCCGCAGGACCAATGCTCAGAGACAGCTCATCAGTGAGGCTTATGAGGCGACCACAGGCACAGTAAGTAATTCATTTATTCATTTTGATATCTCTGCTGTCAGTCACACTCCAGTATTATCTGTATTATCTGATCCTCCCGGGGAAAAAATCTATTAAATTCCAATTCCTGGATAATGTATCAATCAGAACCAAACTGTACTAGAGGTTCGGAGCATGCTCAGTAGTTCTTTTGACCTGGTGTGTCTGGTTCTGCTCCAGGTTTCTGTAGCTCCACTTCACTAAGCATGGAGCAGACTGAATGAAGTAAAAGATGAGTTATGTCTGATCTTAATAACCGCCAATGAACCTGACATTTAAAATGTTTGAAATAGATCAAATAATTTAAGTTAACATTGCTAAACGTTTTGTTTATGTGAACCTGGTGTCTTGTGCAAAAAAAATGTTCCTCTTTGTGAGTGAGGTGCCTCTGTGTGGGCGTCGGCCTGAGCTCTTTGTGTATTTGCATGGGTGTGGTGGTGATTTGAATTAAAAAGGGTGTGTGCGTGTGTTCGTGTGTGTCTGTCTGTGTGCGTGTGTGTGTGTGTGTGTGTGTGTGAATGTGTGTGTTCCAGGCATTGGTGGACGACCTGAAAGGAGAAACTGGCGGGGACTTTGAGGATCTGTTGGTGGCGCTGGCGACGCCTCCTGCAGTGTACGACTGTCATGAAGTGATGAGAGCCATGAAGGTCAGATGTATTCTTTATTTATTTAATTTAAACTCTGAGGCCTTTAAATTAAATCTTCACACAGAAATGTTTGAGAGAACAAAGATGGATTTAAAAACTGTAACATCTGTAACACCTTTAACACCTGTAACACCTTTAACATCTGTAACACCTTTAACATCTTAAAATCAGTAACATCTGTTACACCTGTAACACCTTTAATACCTGTAACACCTGAAACACCTGTAACATCTGTAACATCTTTAACATCTGTAACCCCTTTAATACCTGTAACACCTGTAACACCTTTAATACCTGTAACATCTGTAACCCCTTTAATACCTGTAACACCTGTAACACCTTTAATACCTGTAACATCTGTAACACCTGTAACACCTTTAATACCTGTAACACCTGTAACATCTTTAACATCTGTAACACCTTTAATACCTGTAACACCTGTAACACCTTTAACATCTGTAACACCTTTAACACCTTAAAATCAGTAACATCTGTTACACCTGTTACACCTTTAATACCTGTAACACCTGAAACACCTTTAACATCTGTAACACCTTTAACACCTTAAAATCAGTAACATCTGTTACACCTGTTACACCTTTAATACCTGTAACACCTGAAACACCTTTAACATCTGTAACACCTTTAACACCTTAAAATCAGTAACATCTGTAACATCTGTTACACCTGTAACACCTTTAATACCTGTAACACCTGAAATACCTTTAACATCTGTAACACCTTTAACACCTTAAAATCAGTAACATCTGTAACACCTTTAACATCAGTAACACCTGTAACATCAGTAACACCTGTAACATCTGTAAATCCTGTTTCTTTTAGGGAGGAGGGACTGTAGAAAGCGTCCTGATCGAGATCTTTGCCTCCAGATCCAACGAACAGATCCAAGCTCTCAACGAGGCCTACCTGACAGGTAAATAAAGGTCTACCTGACAAATAAATAGAGGTCTACCTGACAGGTAAATAAAGGTCTACCTGAAAGATAAATAGAGGTCTACCTGACAGGTAAATAAAGGTCTACCTGAAAGATAAATAGAGGTCTACCTGACAGGTAAATAAAGGTCTACCTGAAAGATAAATAGAGGTCTACCTGACAGGTAAATAAAGGTCTACCTGACAGGTAAATAAAGGTCTACCTGACAGGTAAATAAAGGTCTACCTGAAAGATAAATAAAGGTCTACCTGACAGATAAATAAAGGTCTACCTGACAGATAAATAGAGGTCTACCTGACAGGTAAATGAAAGTCTACCTTGATCAGCAGATGTGACCTGTGAGTTGAACTTTGAACTTATTGTTGTGTCACTCTTTCCTTTGTAAGATATCAGCATCGTCACTTTGTCTCTGATGTTTGCATCCACAGAAACGGAGAAGATGGTGACCCTCGACATGAAGTCCGAAATTTCCGGAGACTTCGGCGATGCTCTGCTCGTGCTGGCCAAGGTCAGTCAAATATAAGTGAAGGAGCACTTCTTTATTTTTATCGTGTTTCAGAGGATTAGAGTCAGTTCCCTGAGTTGGATTTGGTTTGTGATTTCAGGGTCAGAGGGACGAGAGCACCACTGTGGATACACAGAAGGCTAAAGAAGACGCCAAGGTGATACGTCTCAGACACATCTTCAAGAACACATGTTCATGCAGATCGTTTTTATGTTGAGTTCATTCTAACAGTTTAACTTCCTTCTCTTCAGACCCTTTATGAAGCTGGGGAGAAGAAGTGGGGAACCGATGAGTCTAAGTTTATTGAAATCCTCTGTCATAGGAGCATACCTCAGCTCAGACAGAGTAGGTCATCTTTCAAACATGTTTTAACCTGCATTGGATTTCAGAACGTATTCTCATCTATGTTTCCCTATGTTTGATCTAAGAGTTATAGTTCCCTGTGTGTGAGTAAATATGTTTCCCTGTGTGTGATCTTAGCTCTTGTGGAATATAAGAACATCAGTGGAAAGACTCTGCAGGAGAGCATCGAGGGAGAAATGTCTGGAGATCTGCAGGAGCTGCTGGTGGCGATAGGTGAGTCACTGGGTTTATGAAGTCACTAACGAGCCTCATAATGACTTTATTATACAGAATTGTTTTTTTACATATTGTATGAGGCTAGAAGTTTGAGGATGAATCTTGAAATCACAGAGGAGTCGAGCATTTCAGGATCTGCCCTCTGCTGGTCCCTGTCTTACCTCTCAGGGATAGTTATCCACAGGGGTGCCTCAGGGCTCTGTGATCGGCCCCCTTCTCTTCTCCATTCTCCAGCTCACTTGGTTCTATAATCCACTCTCATGGTTTCTCATACCACTGCTATACTGACAATACCCAGCTCTTCCTGTCATTCCCATCAAATTTAGCTGTTATTGTGTTTAACCACACTGTGTTGTTGTTGTTGTTGATGTCGTTCTGCAGTGAAGTGTGTGAAGAGTGCCCCGGCTTACTTTGCAGAGCTTCTCTATCACAGCATGAAGGTGAGCTGAAAACGTGTGTTCAGTTATTTTGAGAAATTAAATCCCATAATAAGACTCTGATCAGCAGGGAGGACATGTTAGCAGCTCTGGGTATGTGTGACTTTGAACAAGAACCATAAGGAGGAGTTTATAATGTGCACTGTTTGTGTGTGTGTGTGTGTGTGTGTTCAGGGCGGTGGAACAGACGAGTCGACTCTGAACAGGGTCATGGTGAGTCGGTCTGAGATTGACCTGCTGGACATCCGAGCAGAGTTTAAGAAGCTGTACGAGTACTCGCTGCACTCGGCCATCGAGGTGAGAACAGAACTCTTTACTGTTAAAGTAACCTTTGAGAAGGAAGTCTGAACTCTGTCCATTTTATCAGATCTTTATTTAAACCTCTTTAAACAGTTTACAGAAACAACAACACACTGACTCTGTGATCAGAGGATTAAACTGTCTGAAACTGTTTTAAACAGTGTTAAGCAGTTTGAGACAGTCTTAGATGGTTTGAAACAGTCCGAGACATCTTATACAGTCACAAACGGTCTGAGATGGTCTCAATTGGTCTCAACCGGTCCTAAACCATCTCAAAAAGTCTGAAACTATCTGAGACAGTCCCAAAATGTCTGAAACTGTCTGAAACAGTCTGAAACGGTCTGAAACTGTCTGAAACAGTCTGAAACAGTCTGAAACAGTCTGAAACCGTCTGAAACAGTCTGAAAGTGTCTGAAACAGTCGGAAAACGGCTGAAACAGTCTGAAACAGTCTGAAACGGTCTGAAACGGTCTGAAACAGTCTGAAACTGTCTGAAACAGTCTGAAACAGTCTGAAACGGTCTGAAACAGTCTGAAACGGTCTGAAACTGTCTGAAACTGTCTGAAACAGTCGGAAAACGGCTGAAACAGTCTGAAACAGTCTGAAAGTGTCTGAAACAGTCTGAAACTGTCTGAAACTGTCTGAAACAGTCGGAAAACGGCTGAAACAGTCTGAAACAGTCTGAAACTGTCTGAAACGGTCTGAAACGGTCTGAAACGGTCTGAAACTGTCTGAAACAGTCTGAAACTGTCTGAAACTGTCTGAAACAGTCTGAAACAGTCGGAAAACGGCTGAAACAGTCTGAAACAGTCTGAAACAGTCTGAAACGGTCTGAAACAGTCTGAAACAGTCTGAAACTGTCTGAAACTGTCTGAAACAGTCTGAAACTGTCTGAAACAGTCTGAAACAGTCTGAAACAGTCGGAAAACGGCTGAAACAGTCTGAAACTGTCTGAAACTGTCTCAAACCATCTGTCTGTCTGTCTGCCTGCCTGTCTGTCTGTCTGCCTGTCTGTCTGCCTGTCTGTCTATCTGTCTACGTGGGGACTCTTTCTCCTGTTGTGTTTATGTGTTACAGTCTGATCTGTCGGGGGAGCACGGGGACGCTCTGAAGCTGATCTGTGGAGGAGACGACTAACACACCTGAGCTCACCTGAACCCTCAGTACCCATCTCTCTCTGTTCCTTCACTAACTCACCTGAGTCCTCGGTACCCTTCTCTCTCTGTTCCTTCACTAACTCACCTGAGTCCTCGGTACCCTTCTCTCTCTGTCTTCACTGACTCACCTGAGTCCTCATTACCCATCTCTCTCTGTTCCTTCACTAACTCACCTGAGTCCTCAGTACCCATCTCTCTCTGTCTTCACTGATTCAGGACTCTGCTGTCTATTAGAGGTGCATGTGAATAAAGTGTGCAGAGGGTAATCAGTAATGTAAGCCTGTTTGTGTTTCAGTCTGACGTTGGAGGAGATTATAAAAAGATTCTGCTAAAGCTCTGTGGAGGAGACGATGATTAACATCATGTCTGTTTATCTTTCTGCTCTTTAAAAACGTGAACGTTAAAACAACTGGAAATAATAAAATGACTCTGATGAAGTACCCGAGTATTGGTCTGGACTTTTATTTTAATTTAGGACTAAAGCTGTGTGAGTGAACATGTGACAGGCTGAGGGGTCAGCAGCAGGCCCCGCTGAGAGAGAGTCTCAGGATCAGGATCAGGACCAGGATCAGTTCAATAAACATGACTGCTCAAGTCGGAAAAACTCAGGAACTTGGAGACAGAATGAGGTGTTCGAATTGATGTCATACTCGTCATCATGTGGCGGGACAAACACGGCTCTGACAACAACACAGCCAGCAGGACTCAAGCTTCTCACTCATTTTAGACAGTCATGACTCATAGAGACATTTACACAGGAGAGACCTGATCTCTGATTTATTTATGTGGAACATGTCGCACATTCTTCCTTTAAATCTGGTGTTTTTTGATACAAACATAAATCCTTCCTGGGTGTGAAGAATCGTCTGACAGAAGAAACATGGTCTCATAAGGATGAATACTGAAGATGTTTGTTCACAGTTAAAGTGTCTCAGACTGTTGAAGGTGTTTCATATGAGAGAGTGTGTGATTAATGCAGTTTTGATCTTCAAACATCAGAAACTTTATTTAAAAAATGTCATTCTTACAGAAAGTCTGTTCATGTTTCACACAGTTTTCACTTCACAGTCCAGACTTTCTGAATGCAGATAAAGATGTTAGATGATCCATACACACATACATGTTCACTGTGTTTCCATCAGTCACCAGCAGGGGGCAGCAGCCTCACACAGAGTCAGACAACAATGAGTGAGAGAGGAGAGCTCGTCCTGCAGGAACAGACAGAGGAGTCTGTAGCTCCTCCTCCTCCTCGTCCTGGACTCTTATGTAATCCTCGTCTCTGCCATGTGCTCCCTCCTCACTCTGACCTCAATCTCATCGTTTTTTTTCAGAAGAAGACTCTTTAAACCTCTGAGATCTGACGTGAAGACGACAGAGGAGGCTGAGAGCGTCGTCTCCTCTGAAGTTTCAGCGTGAAAGAATCTAAGCGTGCAGATTCATGAGAGGGATTCTCCGAGCCGATCGCAGCTCTTTGTTCACTGAGCAGCTGCTTCCTCAGAGACCAGTCCACGTCAGAGACCGAGCTTCCTCACTCTGAAGGGACACACAAACACACTTTACATAGATCTATATACATAGATCATGTATACATCTATGTGTAATGTATGTTTATACACTTAGAGAGCAGCTGACAGTCTGAACAATCTGATACCAGATGTTTAGACTTTGATATGATTCTAATTTAAACCAAACGACATACACACCTGTTTGATACCATGGAAACAAACCGTATCAAATCCACGACACCTGAGATTTTTTTTTAAAGATTTGTTTTTGGGCTTTTCTTGCCGAGAGACAGGGGGGGTTCACATGCGGTAAAGGACCCACAGGTCGTTATTTGAACCCAGGCCGTCCCCTTGGAGGACTATAGCGTCTGCATAGGGGACACATGCACCAACCACTAAGCCACAGGCGCCCCGAGATTGGACAGTGTTCTTGTCTTCAAATGTCAAAAATGGCAGGAAACTCCTGCACATTGTCTTAATTGCATAAAAACATTGGCAACAAGTCAATCGAGGACGCCAAATATTGGTGAATGTATTGTTGTCAAACCTTGCAGACAGACTCCTGCACACGGTCCAAGTTGTAAATAAAGATCGGTAACGTTTGACACATTAATCCAAACATTGCTGATGTTTCTGAGCAGTCAGGGTGCAGGAAATGGAAACCTTAGGTAGTTCGAGTCCTCTCCTTCTCACCTTTTTGTCTGTCCTAGTCTTGTCCTGTTTATGATCAATGTGATGTGTAATGACGTGTTGTCACTATGTAAAGTCTGTTGTGTGAACCCCAGGAGGTTACTATGCTGCAGCTAATGAGGATCCTGATAAACTAAACTAAACATCTGCTTAGGAAACAGATGTTGGTAAAGTTTTTTCTTGATTCTTTGGATCAATAAAGGAACAGATTGTATCTTTAAAACTCTGAGTGTGTTGAAACCTTTTGAGAACCTTGGTGGAGATAATAACTGATGAACAAACAAGATAAATGGTAAAGATCTCTTCAGCTTTGTTTCTGCTCCTCCACATTCTTTACAGCCTGTTCACCACCCGTCCTCCGTCTGACACGCCTTCCCTGTCTGAGAGAGCTATGGAAGCCTGAAGCTGCAAAAACAAAAACAAGTTTACAATAAAGAAACGTGGAAAAGAAAACATCCCATAATAAGTTATGATGTTTATGAACCTGCAGAGTGAAGAAGTTCACTCTAATGTCTTCTATTTCACTCCTCACTGTGTTGGTGTGTTTGTGTGTGTGTGCGTGTGTGTGTGTGTGTGTGTGTGTGTGTGTGTGTGTGTGTGTGTTTGTGTGTTGTGTGTTGGTGTGTGTGTGTGTGTGTGTGTGTGTGTTTGTGTGTGTGTGTGTGTTGTATGTATGTGTGTGTGTGTGTTGTATGTGTGTGTGTGTGTTGTATGTGTGTGTGTTGGTGTGTTTGTGTGTGTGTGTGTGTTGTATGTGTGTGTGTGTGTGTGTATGTTTGTGTGTGTGTGTGTTGGTGTGTTTGTGTGTGTGTGTGTGTGTGTGTTTATGTTTGTGTGTGTGTGTGTTGGTGTATGTTTGTGTGTTGGTGTGTTTGTGTGTGTGTGTGTGTGTATGTTTGTGTGTTGGTGTGTTTGTGTGCGTGTGTGTGTGTTTGTGTGTTGTGTGTTGGTGTGTGTCTGGTGATGTTTGGGTTCTGAAGATGTTTGTTTTCTGAAGATGTTTGGGTTCTGATGATGTTTGGGTTCTTGTGATGTTTGGGTTCTGCTGATGTTTGGGTTCTCGTGATGTTTGGGTTCTGAAGATGTTTGTTTTCTGAAGATGTTTGGGTTCTGATGATGTTTGGGTTCTTGTGATGTTTGGGTTCTGCTGATGTTTGGGTTCTGAAGATGTTTGGGTTCTGAAGATGTTTGTTTTCTGGAGATATTTTGGTTCTGCTGATGTTTGGGTTCTCGTGATGTTTGGGTTCTGAAGATGTTTGGGTTCTGAAGATGTTTGTTTTCTGAAGATGTTTTGGTTCTGCTGATGTTTGGGTTCTGAAGATGTTTGTTTTCTGAAGATGTTTGGGTTCTGCTGATGTCTGGGTTCTCGTGATGTTTGGGTTCTGAAGATGTTTGGGTTCTGCTGATGTCTGGGTTCTCGTGATGTTTGGGTTCTGCTGATGTCTGGGTTCTCGTGATGTTTGGGTTCTGAAGATGTTTGGGTTCTCGTGATGTTTGGGTTCTGAAGATGTTTGGGTTCTGCTGATGTCTGGGTTCTCGTGATGTTTAGGTTCTGAAGATGTTTGGGTTCTCGTGATATCTGGGTTCTCGTGATGCTTGGGTTCTGAAGATGTTTGGGTTCTCGTGATGTTTGGGTTCTTGTGATGTTTGGGTTCTCGTGATGTTTGGGTTCTGAAGATGTTTGGGTTCTCGTGATGTTTGGGTTCTCGTGATGTTTGGGTTCTGCTGATGTTTGGGTTCTCGTGATGTCTGGGTTCTGCTGATGTTTGGGTTCTCGTGATGTTTGGGTTCTGCTGATGTTTGGGTTCTGAAGATGTCTGGGTTCTCGTGATGTTTGGGTTCTCGTGATGTTTGGGTTCTGAAGATGTTTGGGTTCTCGTGATGTTTGGGTTCTCGTGATGTCTGGGTTCTGCTGATGTTTGGGTTCTGAAGATGTTTGGGTTCTGAAGATGTCTGGGTTCTGCTGATGTCTGGGTTCTCGTGATGTTTGGGTTCTGAAGATGTTTGGGTTCTGAAGATGTCTGGGTTCTGCTGATGTCTGGGTTCTCGTGATGTTTGGGTTCTGAAGATGTTTGGGTTCTCGTGATGTCTGGGTTCTGCTGATGTTTGGGTTCTCGTGATGTTTGGGTTCTCGTGATGTTTGGGTTCTCGTGATGTCTGGGTTCTCGTGATGTTTGGGTTCTCGTGATGTTTGGGTTCTGCTGATGTTTGGGTTCTCGTGATGTCTGGGTTCTCGTGATGTCTGGGTTCTCGTGATGTTTGGGTTCTCGTGATGTCTGGGTTCTCGTGATGTTTGGGTTCTCGTGATGTTTGGGTTCTGCTGATGTCTGGGTTCTCGTGATGTCTGGGTTCTCGTGATGTTTGGGTTCTCGTGATGTCTGGGTTCTCGTGATGTTTGGGTTCTCGTGATGTTTGGGTTCTCGTGATGTCTGGGTTCTCGTGATGTCTGGGTTCTCGTGATGTCTGGGTTCTCGTGATGTTTGGGTTCTCGTGATGTCTGGGTTCTCGTGATGTTTGGGTTCTCGTGATGTTTGGGTTCTCGTGATGTCTGGGTTCTGCTGATATTTGGGTTCTGCTGATGTTTGGGTTCTCGTGATGTTTGGGTTCTGCTGATGTTTGGGTTCTCGTGATGTCTGGGTTCTGCTGATGTTTGGGTTCTGATGCTGGTTGTATGACTGGTGTATTTTCCTGTTGGGGTTTTGTTGTTGTTGGTCGGGTCACAGTGTCAGGGTTGCTTTGTTGTTGTTTGTTGTTGTTTGTTGTTATTTGTCGTTGTTTGCATTCTTATGCTTTGTTGTTCTGCCTCATGTGTCAAACCACTTTGTAAACCCTCACCTTTTTAAATAAAGTTATTATTATGATATTCTTATTCTTATCTGATGTGCATTTCTTTATTTATTATTTTTCGATGCTCCCTGTCACTCACAGGTTTCCATACAACGTCCATTTCCACCAGTGACAACAATGTGAGGGGGCGGGGCCACGTCAGGTTATGCTGTCACTCTCATTGGGTAAATAACAAACCACCCACAGACTCTGCACCGGGAAGTTTATCGTTACCGGAGCTGCTGGGCGGGTGAACTTCACCGAAGGGCTCTCGGTAACAAGCGGGCGCTGACCTGTGAGAGGGCCGGACTCGGAGCGTGTCTGCCCGCCTGCTCTCTGCTGGAGGAGCGTGTTAGCCGCTAACACCGCAGCTAGCGGGCTAACTAGCCACTAACACCGCAGCTAGCGGGGCTAACTAGCCACTAACACCGCAGCTAGCGGGGCTAACTAGCCGCTCCGCCCGTGTTGAGCTCACAGGTCGGTGCGTGTGATGCTAGCAGCGCCGGGGATTCTTTAAGAGAGCTTCTGAGTTGGATTCATGTCCAGGGATACTCCAGAGGTGGTGTTATTCCGCTGCATTATTCCCCGCCTCTCCCCCCTCTCTCTGTCGGCTTCACATGCTAACAGGGATGTGTCTCAGCAGCTAACGGAGCTAGCTCAGTGTTAGTGAGGTACACGCTGTTTCACCTGTCCTCTATGTTACCTGTCCTGCGGACACGGAGCATGCAGCAGGGGGAGAGGCTCCTCGCCAGGAGATAGGACAATAACCTGATCTACGTGTGGGACTGAGAGGCTGACTTGAGCACAGACTGTTTGTGGTGTCGGAGGAGCTTCAGGATGAAGAAGTTCTCCAGGATGCCGAAGTCAGAGAGCGGGGGGCTCGGAGGGCAGTCCGGGACCAGCTGCGGGGTCAGCAGCTACCTGGGCAAGGTGTTCTCTGTGGGCAGGTACCAGGTGACTGTGGAGGAGCTGGTGGCAGAGGGTAGGTACTGTGTTATCATCAACAGTGTGTTAACATCAACAACATCAACAGTGTGTATAGAATAGAATAGAATAGATTAGATTAGATTAGAATAGAATAGATTAGATTAGATTAGAATAGAATGACTTTATTGATCCCAAACTGGGAAATGGTGTCGTTACAGCAGCAGGTTGTCCAAACACACAATATGAGCAAAAAACACAATAAAATATTAAATACAAAGTAAATAAGCACAAAAATATCAAAACTAAGAATGGGAATATATACAACCAGGATTTAACTAAACATTACTCGTCTTAAATATGGAAGATTTAATGTAAATGTGCAAAAACAGAGTAGTAAAAGTTAAAGTGCAGGAGTGTAGACATGTTATCAGCAGAAACTATTCAATATAACTGTGAGTAGACAAACAAATGAAGTCAACTTGAGTGCACGGATAATTTGTAAATTTAACATGCACAGTATGTTAGCATCAACATAATATTTAAATGAGTAAAGAATGAGGATAACAAATCACATTTGAACCTGATACCAGAAAGATTTCTCCTCTTAATTTTTCTTCGGTGACTTTAACAAACTCAGGTTTTCAAAAGGACAGTGAGTTCTGTCAGATGGGGTCCTCTTAGGGAGGTTTCCTACGGTTGTACCAAAATTAGAGCGTTTTCAACAACTGCTGTGGTTTAAAGTTAGTCAGCCCTTGGGGGGGAGGGGGGGGCTTTCTGGCCTGGGGCCCCAAGCAGGTGCCTGCGTTACCTGTTGACAAGCCGCGCCTTGGAGAGTTGTGTTTTCTGGCACGACTTCATCGACTACAAAAGTGCAGGTAGAGAGAGAAAGGTTTGAAGAGGTGAAAACGCTGCAGCAGCTTTTTTAGTATGAAGATCGACTTTATTGGAGCGCCGTGTTTCGGCTTGTGGCCTTCATCGGGGTCATGATGACCCTTCAGACTGCAACTGTTGCTGGAGCTTTTTGACCTTCTTCAAAGTCCTTGAACAAATACATTGGCAACATTTCCACCTTTGTGCAACTTAGTCAGAGCTCTCTCGCTCTTTGTTTTGATAGGATAGAGTCAGAAATCAGACAGAGAGAGAGAGAGTGGGGTGTGAACCCGGGCTGCTCGCTAGGAGGACGACAACCTCTCTACATGTGGCGTGTGCACTCACCACTAAGCCATCAGTGCCCCTAGAGGACATGTTCTCAAAACTAGTCTCATCCCTTTATCTTCACACCGCTGAAGATGCTGTCTAACACGTGTCGGTATCGTTGGGTTTTGATTCTCTAAGTGCCTGGTGTGTACAGAGAGATCACACTGTGTCTTTAGTCTCATGGTGTCTGGGACTCTCCGCCCTCCCCTTAGTGAGGTGACTCCTCCCCCTTTTACAGGCCGCTGCATCGTCGTCTCTCTGCAGAAGAAGCTCAGATTCCCCCTAAAACATCTGAAATCTCTCAGACTGAATGAAGTAGGTCGCTCCCCTCTGAGGCTCTGAGCTGTGTTTGCTTTCTAAACTGGGGCACTGGGGATGTGGTGTATAGCTGGAGTTAGAGCTGCTCCCTTTCCTCCATACAGCTGTGCTTTACATCCTGCTTCAGCTGGCGGAGGGTGGGGGGGGGGGGGGGGGGGGGTGGGGTGACGACGGTCTGAACCTCCTGGGTCAACAGCATGTAGAGATGCAGAGATCTCCATACTTGGTTTGTTTTTGTGTCAGGACGACTTAGATTCTCTGTGCAGCCGCTCAGCTCCATGAGAGACGGATCGTTTTTATTTTATTAGATTACTCAACAAGTTCAACAAGTAACAACAGAGCCCTCTGGACTCGCACAGAAAGAAAGACTTGTGCAATGACAGAACAACCTCGAGGACGCCAGCGGGCTGCCAGGAAGTCTCAGAGATGTCCTTCACGCTTTCACAAAGTTTTGTGTTTAAAAATACGGGAATCTCCTCGCTGCACCAATAAGGAAGTGAAAGAACAACAACAGCTGCTGTTTCACAAGACCAGAGCTGACGGCAGCGTATTCATTAAACATGTGGTTCCAGCAGCTTAACCACGCAGCAGCGAGACACGGTCATAGTTTCAGGGTTGTTCTTAAAGACCTGTCGTCTGACATGTTTTAAAACGAGTTTTTTTAGTCATCCAGAGACTCACAAAGAACTGAAACTATAAAAAAAATATACTACAGACATGAAGCAGAGAAAATATAAAACCAAGTCACGAGAAGCTTCAGTTTGAACGAGGCGCCATCGCTGCACCTCAATCAGTGAATTAAGTACAGAATAAATAAATTAAAATTTGGAAATAAATGAACCTGGGCGGCCTAAATGAGTGGAAACACTGAGGTCGCGTATCTTTAGATTGTGATCCTGATTTTGTATAAAGATTAGGCCCCCCTTGTCCACCCGGGCAGTAAAGCGCTGGTTGTGCGCTAGGGAGTGTTTGCATGTGCGCTCGAATAAAAGCGCTGGCGTCTGTCCTGTCTCTGACAACAGTCGGATGAAACAAAAACAAAAAAGGCGGAGCGCTCAGAAAAAAGACGCTGGAAACAAGTGTTATATTTTTGCAGCCATTAAACGTGACACCAGAGAAATGTTTGTGCATCATGAGGGGACGTGTTGTGCGGCTCGTTTACTTTGAACATTAAAGATAACAAACTACTCGGACTATGAAACTGTCAAAGGGTTTTTAGTTCGAGGTCGACTCAGAACAAACTCGAGAGATTCACGACAAGCTGACGAGGACACACGCTCACAGGAGAGGTCATTCTTAATTCATTTACTGTGCAGTCAACACACACGGTATACGTTTAAATAAATAATAAGTTAATATTCAGCCAGCTGACTGTAACCACTGAAACTATAACGATGTTTGTTGGTCAGAGTGTAGACGTGACAAGTTACAACAAGCTGCTGAGTCAGAGAGGGAGGGAGAGAAGGAGAGAGAGGGGGAGGGGGAAAGAGAGGGAGGGTGGGAGGGGAAGGGGGAGGGAGAGGGGGAGAGGGAGGGTGTTTTCATATAGTCATGTGAAGTGTCTGTGGAGCAGGAGGTTACAGCGTGACCTTTGCTCATCGTTGTATCCCGAGGTTGTACAGTTACTGTTTGGTGTGTGTGTATTTGTGTCTGTGTCTGTGTCTGTGTCAGTCAGGCCGGTCGGTCGGTCGGTCGTCCTGGCTGCTGGGTTAGTTTATAATTCTGTTACCATGACCCGATGGGTCCTCATGTCTGTTCTCCTCATTCAGGTCTGTTCATTCAGGTCTGTTCTCCTCATTCAGGTCTGTTCATTCAGGTCTGTTCATTCAGGTCTGTTCATTCAGGTCTGTTCTCCTCATTCAGGTCTGTTCTCCTCATTCAGGTCTGTTCTCCTCATTCAGGTCTGTTCATTCAGGTCTGTTCATTCAGGTCTGTTCATTCAGGTCTGTTCATTCAGGTGTTCTCCAGCAGGTGAACCACTTTCATAAAAGTCAAACCCACGCAGCAGAAGAAGCCTCTGAAAACAAAGTCTGCTGGACTCAGTGAGTCATTTCCTCCTCTTCAGTCTGTGGTTTCTCTGCACATATCAGTCGGAGAACACATGACATGACATGACATGAACAGGATGCATCTGTGAGCGCGTCCATATCTCTACATACTCTCTTAATATTCGCAGTAGCCGCTGAAATGAACTACAGCGGTATTAAGAAGCCAACCATGGAGAATGGGGGCTACCGCCACAACCACACGTGAAGTCACCTCACCTCGTGTTCAGACGGGTATAATGGCAACTTCCGTTTCTGGGGGCAAGATAAGCTCGCCCCACGTGATATTTCTCACACTCGGGGTCAGAGCCGGGATAGAAACGGGCAAATTTGCTTTTAAGAACTACTTTGCATTGTAAGACCCCGAGACGGGCACAAACAGGGGACGCATGAACAAAAAGCAGCAACCTCCGGTGTTGAAACATGAAGCCGATGCTGAAGTGCAGTTCCTGGAGTATCCACTAGAGGCTGGCTGCAGAAGCATAGGAAGTCACATACACACCCATTCTAAAAAGCCTGTTTTTACAGCAGAGATGAACATGTTTACAGCCTGGTTCAAAAAAACAAATAGGTGTGATTAGCTCATGTCTGGATGGACACACACTGTACGGGGGGTGAATGTTTTGATGACTCATCAGTTTTGATTTGATGAAGGATAAGAGTTATTCACAATAAGGCGTGTAGCTGACCTGATTGACAGGTGGGCGCGGTGTAACGGTTTGTCAGGAGGTTTAAAACCCGCCTCAGCTCCAGCTCTCAGCCTGTCGTTAGGTTGACTGAAAGTTAGACTGAGACAGCATTTCCAGCATGGAGACCGCCATCGATGGGACTCCGGCGCCCCCTGCAGGAACAGACATTAATATTTACAGTCTGTGATGAATACGTTTCAGAAATATCTGCGAGAGCTCAATATTTATATATGTTAAGTTAAACACAATTCATCAGAAGTCCCCTTTATGTAAAAAATGACTCAGCTCGTTATGAACACCTACGACCTTAACGATGATGATGACGATATTTAGGAGGGTTTTGATGATTAAAACTCTGAAGAACAGCTGTCCATGTTGTTGTTGACGAGATATGAACTTTAATTATTTAAAAAAAAAAAAGTGCTCTGCCTCTGGAAGCTCCACATACACACAGTCAGACATGCACACACACAGCGCTGTTATCCTCCGCTGGCTCAGCTGATCTGTCTCTCCTCTGTAACGCCTCTGTTACTATCTCTGAAGACGGGACGGGGGGTCACTGTGTCCCCTCATTCCGCCTCCTCTATGTTCAGATTGAAGGAGAAACGTCACAGGGGCGTAAACTTCGGGACGTTTTGATTCGTTTTGATCTCTGAAATAACGTATCGTATTGTTTTTAAACTTGTGGTATCCAAACTGGCAAAAAACAAATAGCTTCTCTGAGAACATGCTGACTCAAACACAACCAGCCGGTATCTGTCCGTCAGCAGAAACACACGGGTGTGTATGTGTGTGTGTCTGCTGATAGTGTGTGTGTATTTGTGTGTGTGTGTCTGCTGATCGTGTGTGTGTGTCTGCTGATCGTGTGTGTGTCTGCTGATCGTGTGTGTGTGTCTGCTGATCGTGTAAACATGAGCAGCGCAAACAGAGTTGTGTGTGTGTGTGTGTGTGTGTGTGTGTGTGTGTGTGTGTGTGTGTGTGTGTGTGTGTGTGTGTGTGTGTGTGTGTGTGTGTGTGTGTGTGTGTGTGTGTGTGTGTGTGTGTGTGTGTGTGTGTGTGTGTGTGTGTGTGTGTGTGTGTGTGTGTGTGTGTGTGTGTGTGTGTGTGTGTGTGTGTGTGTGTGTGTGTGTGTGTGTGTGTGTGTGTTACTGTACAGCTGATGAATGGCCACATTGTGTGTTGTTGTAGCTCTGCTGGTACGACGCAGCGCTCGCTGTCTTTGTGCAAGCTCATTCAGGCTTCCCCCCCCCCCCCCCCCGCCAAATCGCACATGAACTTTATTCTCCCAACTCATCATCACCACATCTGAGCTGACCACGACCAACAGTGGGCGTGGCCTTGGAGGGTCACATGGAGACGACAGACAGAAGGTCTTTTGATACAAAAGTCCACTCCAGCATTTCATTGAGCCCGTTCAGTGGCTCTGACGCTCTCATGACATGACGATGTGGACGCAGCACGCTGGAGGAGCCACTACTGCTCTCTAACAAAAGAGGGTGACCTCACACTGAGGGGGCTGTTACAGGACGTCTTCCTGTCTCGTGGTGGATTATTTATTCTATAAAACACTCTTCACCTTCATGTTACTCTGACAGTAACATGTGTATCTAGTCCGTCAACAAACCCCCAATGATGAGAGGGGGTCCATCCTCTCCGTCTTCTGCCTGCTCCACTTTTAAGAAAATGTGTGCTCAAACCGTTTGGAGATTTTCCCTTCATGACATCACAAAGGGCAGTAGCCCCTCCCCCAGGTGGGTGATACTCCCACAGCTAGGTGTTTGTTCTGCCCTCTGAGTCTGCCTTCTCACCGTAAACAATAGAACATGGAGCGAGAAGGCCTGAAACACTCGAGCCCTTCCAGAGAGGGGGCGTGGTCAGACACAGCTCATGCTGATCCATTTCAGTCAAACATTAAAGAGAGAGTAAGGACTACAGGAGGTAGTGGGAGTTGTAGTCCAGCTGTTTCTCTTATTTCTCTGTCAGACTGTTCACCTGAGCTCAGTTTGAAGCTGACGGGGCGTTACTCTGATTTTAGTCAGGATCCTACTGTAATAAGGACCAGAGAAGAAGAAGACATGTTGGAGTCCGGCTGCAGAATTTGTCGACAGCTCGTTAGGATCGGGTTCACGTCTATTTTTAGGCCGACATCGTCCGACTCTGAGGGGTTTTGTGAGTGTTCAAACAGGAACATGGTCACTAAGTGGAGTCCTCCTGATGAGGCCGTTTGTGACTCCAGGATATTAAACTTGATGTGACTCCACTAAGAATCAGGCGATGGCAGCTGGTCTGTCTTCTACTGTCCACACAGAGGCATGCTGATACGTGATTGGTCAGTACAACTCATGCTACAAATGTCAGACAAAGAGAATCCAGAGACCCCTGAGTACAGACTTTTCAGACTCTTTCTCGTTCTCTCTCTCTCTCTATCTTTCTAGTTCTCGTTCTCTCTCTCTCTCTCTCTAGTTCTCTTTCTAGTTTTCTCTCTCTCTCTCTCTCTATCTTTCTAGTTCTCGTTCTCTCTCTCTCTCTCTCTCTCTCTGTCTCCATCTCTCTCTCTAGTTCTCTTTCTAGTTTTCTCTCTCTCTCTCTCTAGTTCTCGTTCTAGTTTTCTCTCGCTCTCTCTCTCTCTCTGTCTTTCTCTCGTTCTCTCCCTCTCTCTCTTTCTCGTTCTCTCTCTCTCTCTCTGGGACTGAGGCTTCTGGTCTGCTCGTCTTTGTTTCTGACGAGCTTAAAGTCACAGTGGTGCATGCTGGGTAACTCTTCAGACCCTCTTTAGACCTCCTCCTCATGTCTCACTTAAAGGCTCTGCACCGCCGTGTTTCTGTTTCCTGTCCTTAACGACACAGACTGGTCTCTCTCTCCCTCCTGCTGGTTCCCAGTTCAGACACAGACTGGTCTCTCTCTCCCTCCTGCTGGTTCCCAGTTCAGACACAGACTGGTCTCTCTCTCCCTCCTGCTGGTTCCCAGTTCAGACACAGACTGGTCTCAGCTGATGAGTTAGAAACAAACCGCTCTTTGTTGATCCGTCCGTTCTGCTCATCGGTCTGTTTGAGTTTGATCCACACGGCTCAGAAAACCTGCTAATGAGAGAATTACTGTCCAATCAGAGGACACACACACACACACACACACACACACACACACACAGGTCAGGTCTTGCCTCTGTTGAAACTGAGATAATCACAAAGATTTGTTTTCTGCAGATGTGGCGCTAACGTGTCGTCTTGTGTTTTTTTTTTTCAGGAGGGTTCTCGGTGGTGTTTCTGGCTCGTACGCACAGCGGCGTCCGCTGCGCTCTAAAGAGGATGTACGTGAACAACGTCCCCGACCTGAATGTCTACAAGAGGGAGATCACCATCATGGTGAGGCGCACGCCACGCTCTTCTCAGAAGCGTTTAATTTAACCACATCTCTCCTGTCCTCTATCGACCTATAGGTCACCTGTATGTTACCTTAAGGTTACCTGTACGTTACCTGTACGTTACCTGTAGGTCACCTGTACGTTACCTGTAGGTCACCTGTATGTTACCTTAAGGTTACCTGTACGTTACCTGTAGGTCACCTGTAGGTCACCTGTACGTTACCTGTACGTTACCTGTAGGTTACCTGTATGTTACCTTAAGGTTACCTGTACGTTACCTGTAGGTCACCTGTACGTTACCTGTACGTTACCTGTAGGTCACCTGTACGTTACCTGTATGTTACCTGTAGGTTACCTGTATGTTACCTTAAGGTTACCTGTACGTTACCTGTAGGTCACCTGTACGTTACCTGTACGTTACCTGTAGGTCACCTGTACGTTACCTGTATGTTACCTGTATGTTACCTGTAGGTTACCTGTAGGTCACCTGTATGTTACCTGTACGTTACCTGTAGGTCACCTGTAGGTCACCTGTATGTTACCTGTACGTTACCTGTAGGTCACCTGTAGGTCACCTGTATGTTACCTGTACGTTACCTGTATGTTACCTGTAGGTTACCTGTAGGTCACCTGTACGTTACCTGTAGGTCACCTGTATGTTACCTGTAGGTTACCTGTAGGTCACCTGTACGTTACCTGTGTATCTGTAATGACCTCCATGTGTCTTCCTGTCCGTAGAAGGAGCTCTCGGGTCATAAGAACATCGTGGGTTACCTGGACTCCACCATCAGCCCCGTGTCGGACACCGTGTGGGAGGTGCTGATCCTCATGGAGTACTGTAAAGGTACGCACAGGTGAACAGGTTATAAACACAAACATGCTCACCTGATAAGATAAAGACTGTTGACCTGATGGTGAATTTGAACCCCGCCCCCCCTCCGGCGTTTAGCGGGTCAGGTGGTGAAACAGATGAACCAGCGTCTGAACGTGGGCTTCAGCGAGGCCGAGGTCCTCCACATGTTCTGTGACACCTGTGAGGCGGTCGCTCGTCTGCATCAGTGCAAGACGCCCATCATCCACAGAGACCTCAAGGTGAGGACACACCTGTATCTCCTCCTCCTCCTTTGTCTGTCTGTCGGTCTGTCTGTCTGTCTCACCTGACTGTCTCACCTGTCTGTCTGTCTGTCTCACCTATCTGTCTGACTCGTCTGTCTGTCTATCTCACCTGTCTGTCTGTCTTTCCTGTTTGTCTCACCTGTCTGTATCACCTAACTGTCTTCCCTGTCTGACTATCCCTTCTGTCTGTCTCTCCTGTCTGTCTGTCTCACCTGTCTGTCTCACCTGTCTGTCTTACCTGTCTGTCTGTCTCACCTGACTGTCTTACCTGTCTGTCTCTCCTGTCTGTCTTACCTGTCTGTCTGTCTGTCTCACCTGACTGTCTTACCTGTCTGTCTCTCCTGTCTGTCTTACCTGTCTGTCTGTCTCACCTAACTGTCTCTCCTGTCTGTCTTACCTGTCTGTCTTTCTCACCTGACTGTCTTACCTGTCTGTCTCACCTGTCTGTCTCTCCTGTCTGTCTTACCTGTCTGTCTCACCTGTCTGTCTCTCCTGTCTGTCTTACCTGTCTGTCTCACCTGTCTGTCTCTCTGCAGGTTGAAAACATCCTGTTGAACGATCAGGGAAATTACGTGCTTTGTGACTTCGGCAGTGCGACCCATAAAGTTTTACAGCCTCAGAAAGACGGAGTGAGCGCCGTGGAGGACGAGATCAAGAAGTGAGTCTAAATGTTCCGCACGCCGCTCGCTGCAACAGGTGTGTGCCGGTTAGACGGCGTGCAGGAGTTCCTCTCCTACAAACAGAATGATGAAAAGGCCACCAGGGCAACCGTACATGACATCAGTTGACCTTCAGGGTCACCTTACATGACATCGGTTGACCTTCAGGGTCACCTTACATGACGTCGGTTGACCTTCAGGGTCACCTTACATGACATCAGTTGACCTTCAGGGTCACCTTACATGACGTCGGTTGACCTTCAGGGTCACCTTACATGACATCAGTTGACCTTCAGGGTCACCTTACATGACGTCAGTTGACCTTCAGGGTCACCTTACATGACATCAGTTGACCTTCAGGGTCACCTTACATGACATCAGTTGACCTTGAGGGTCACCTTACATGACATCGGTTGACCTTGAGAGTCACCTTACATGACATCGGTTGACCTTGAGGGTCACCTTACATGACATCAGTTGACCTTGAGGGTCACCTTACATGACATCAGTTGACCTTCAGGGTCACCTTACATGACATCAGTTGACCTTCAGGGCCACCGTTCATCAGTGGTTAGTGCGCGCGCCCCATGTACGGAGGCTCCTCCAAGCGGGCGGCCTGGGTTTGAATCCAGCCTGTGGCTCTTTTCCTGCATGTCATTCCCTCTCTCTCTCTCTCTCTCTCTCTCTCTCTCTCTCTCTCTCTCTCTCTCTCTCTCTCTCTCTCTCTCTCCCTGATTTCTTACTATCCATTGTCCTGTCTCTCAAATAAAGGCCCAAAAAAAACAAAAGGAAAACATTCAGTGATGTGATTGACCTCAGCTTGTGTATATGTAACCATGGTAACTCCTGTCCACCTGTCACAGGTGAGCTTTGACCTGTAGTGACCTCTCCCTGTTGTCTCTCAGGTACACAACACTCTCCTATCGCTCACCTGAGATGATTAACCTGTACGCAGGTAAAGCCATCACCACCAAGGCTGATATCTGGGTAAGAGTGTGTGTGTGTGTGTGTGTGTGTGTGTGTGTGTGTGTGTGTGTGTGTGTGTGTGTGTGTGTGTGTGTGTGTGTGTGTGTGTGTGTGTGTGTGTGTGTGTGTGTGTGTGTGTGTGAACAGGACAGGTTCATGTCTCTCTCCTCTTTCTTCAGCTGTCCATGTAATAATGACGCCAAAAATATCCTCCTACAAAGTTTATCCCTGATTTCCTGTTCTGTTCATGGCGAGTAAATTCTGGTGAACCAGGGACGGCTTTCAGACGGAGAATACTCATACTTATCTGATGTGATACTTCCTCAACGCTCTTTTTTGTGCTCTCCCCCCTCCCTCTCTCTCTCCCCCCTCCCTCTCTCCCCCTCGCTCTCTCTTCAGGCTCTGGGCTGCTTGTTGTACAAGCTGTGTTTCTTCACGCTTCCTTTTGGGGAGAGTCAAGTCGCCATTTGTGACGGGACGTTTATCGTCCCGGATAACTCCAAGTTCTCCTTCAAGCTGCACTGTTTGATCCGTAAGTTTCTCATCGTGTCGGCTTATCAGGAATATAATGTTTTTATATTTAAAGGAGATGTCAGTCTGGAAGACCTGCTGGGTAGCGCCCCCCTCCCCACGTGCCCACTCTCCTCTGATTGGCCGGCCCCGTTTGCATTAAACGGGACATTTGAGAGAGCTTCCTGGTGGGCGTGTGCTAAAACTTTGCTCCATGCTTTGCGCTGATTCGTCGGCAGAACCTGACGCCAAATTCTCGTAGCGTTTTGTTCAGAGCAGCAGGAAACCACGACGGGTATCACGCCGACAGATCGAGCAGAGGTTTAGTACGGACGTCCAACATGGTCACATGAAACGTGTTTAAAGATGATCAGCAGAGCAGATCTTAATGACGCCGTCTACGAGCTTTTAGTTTGTCACAAACTTTAAACTTTGATTTAATTCTCGTAAAAATCAAACGAGTCCTCCACACTTAAGGTGGTTACACATGGGGGACTCGGGCCCGGATCCGGGTACACTTGACCCCAAAGTCCGGTTCATTTGATCGGTGTGAACACAAACGTACTCGGGTACCGAGCCTGACACCGCTTGAAGAGTCGGTCTCGGGACTTTTCATGTGAAAGCAACCGTGTTTAAACAGGGAAGTGGAGCGCTCTATGACCTGATTCTAAACATCAGTTATTTTCCAGTCGAGTGACCATCTTGTCTTCATAAAATATCTTTTCCACAAGTGTTTGCTGTTTGCAACACAGTAAAAGTGTTTTAATCTCTGCAGATCTACAAAAGTTATCAGTGGACTTTTCAGGATCTGGTTTCTTTTCTACCTGAAATCGATATCGGTATCAGACCTAAAATCCCGTATGGGTCGGGCCCTAGTTGATATTTATAGTTTACGTTTACTTTGTTTCAAACGCTGCCTCATCTTTCCTGCGTTCACTCTCAGCCCGTCTGCATCACGCCACCCGTAGAAACCTTTTGCACACTTTAGACGTTGTGTTGGTCGTATTAGGAAACTCTTGCCAAAGTATCGGTGCAAATCAGACACATTCTTTGATTGGCCCCAAAAATATGTTCTATGAAATATTCCTCCTCATGATCCAGTCAACCCACCACGACAGTCTGAACGCACTCGGCTCACGGTTTCTCTCTCAGCATCTTCGGGTTAAAAATCTAATCTGAAGCTTTGGTACTTTTTAAAACGAAGGTTAAAATAATCGACCGTATGGTTTTAAACCCAGAGGTTTATTTCCCTGGCTTCAGCCCAGAATCAGTTTGATTCTCCGCTTTAACCAGAGGCGTTAAATTCATCTGTCTTGACCCTGTTTTTACTGTTCTAGAGGAAGACCCTGGGGGTTTAGAGAAGTTTGAGGCAGAAACTCACAGAAAGAACAGGAAGTGAACCCTGCAGCCTGTTTGAACCAGTTTGTCCGTCCGTCGTTAACGGCCTCTATGATGAAACTTCTTTCACTTCCCCAAATGCCGCCCACAGTGGATCCTCCTGTCTTACATTATCTAGCCAACAGCTCCACCTGGTGGACAAACACAGAGCATGCACACCATCCACAGTTTATTAGACTCAGCATGTTGTTTAAAGTATCTGTGTCTCTTCTTTTCAGGATACATGCTCGAGCCAGACCAGGAGAAGAGACCAGACATCTACCAGGTGTCCCACTTTGCCTTCAGATTAGCAGGAAAAGACTGTCCAGTGCCAAACCTGTTTGTAAGTCACCACTGAGGTCGTTTTAATGTTCAATACTTTTTAATACCACGTGTGTTTAAAACTGTACAGTCCGTTTATTTAAAGAGGACATATTATCCCCCCTTCTCCACCTTTTCAAACAGTCCCCTGTGCTGTGCTTTGTTCAAAATATAACATGAATCAAGCACCAGAGGAGGTTTGTGACCCTGTATAAACCAGCTCTCTCAGAACGCTCCGTTTTGGTGTGTGTGTCTCTTTAAATGTAATGACCCCCCCCCCCCCCCCCGAGTTTTCCCTGTAGACATCACTCCTCTGTAGCGAGAATAAAAATGGCGGACCTGCTCAAAAGTTTTGTTCTAGGCTGGAGGTGGAGTCCATGGGTGGAGATATCAGGGGAGGGGAGGAGATTTTTTTTTACTTAATCCTACTGAGATGTCACAAGGAGAGCACATTTGAAACAGAGCATTTTTCTCTGTGTTGTAAGACTTATGCAGACCACAAACAAAGGACTGGATGGTTTATTTCACATTTTGTGGGTCGGTAGACTCTCAGGTTACACAGATATATGTTCAAAAACACTGTAGAAGTGGATTTTTCATATGTCCCCTTTAATGATGGATAATAAAGAAAAGGACTGAAGCTTTACAAACACTACATCTATTTAATCAGTCAGGTGTGTAGGAGAGAAATTAATCCATCAAAACCTGAAAACAAACTCCTGCATGCTGTAAATAAGACAGAGCAGGAGGTTGTCTGCTATTTTTGAGAATTTGAAAGGTCCGATGACCCGATATCAGCTATCTTAAGACTTCTGTTTCTCTTGTCGTGGTATCAAAATAATCTTCCTGTTGTTTTCCAGAACTCTCCAATCCCGACGTCTCTCCCTGAACCGCTAACAGCGAGCGAGGTCGCCGCTAAGAAGAGTATGACAAAAGCCAGGTACTGTTCACAGATAGACAGGTACTGTTTACTGACAGACAGGTACTGTTCACAGATAGACAGGTACTGTTCACAGATAGACAGGTACTGTTTACTGACAGACAGGTACTGTTCTCTGAGAGACAGGTACTGTTCACAGATAGACAGGTACTGTTCACAGACAGACAGGTACTGTTCACTGAGAGACAGGTACTGTTCACTGACAGACAGGTACTGTTTACTGACAGACAGGTACTGTTTACTGACAGACAGGTACTGTTTACTGACAGACAGGTACTGTTTACAGACAGACAGGTACTGTTTACTGACAGACAGGTACTGTTTACTGACAGACAGGTACTGTTTACTGACAGACAGGTACTGTTTACAGACAGACAGGTACTGTTTACAGACAGGTACTGTTCACTGACAGACAGACAGGTACTGTAAACATTAATTTCTCTCTCTGCAGGATCACAGAGGCTGTTGGTCCCACAGAAACATCGATCGCTCCCAGACAGAGACCCAAAGCAGCCAATAGTAACGTCTTACCACTCGCCAACACCGTCACACCTGTGAAGATGGGCGGGCCTTCAGCGCCCGTCAGTAATGGACAGAAAGGTACCTTTTAACACTGCGACAGGTAACAACATAGATCTTTAAAATGTATCCATCAGCTGTGTCACGCTGGTGGTTTCATGTGTTCTACCTGTCCTCTCAGCTCACTCACCTGGCTCTTAGTTTGATGCTGTGTTTTTTAAACGATATTGATAACTCTGTAACTGTGCGTACCTGTCCTCTCAGCTCACACACCTGGCTCGGGGCAGCCGTCCGTGCAGCAGCAGCAGCAGCAGCAGCAGCAGCAGCAGCAGCAGCCCAGCAGTCAGCAGCACCGCGTCCTGCAGCAGCTGCAGCCTGGTGACCTCCGTCTGCAGCAACTACAGCAGCATCATCATCATCAACAAGCACTGCAACAACAACAACAACAACAACAACAAGCAACCGCTCAGCAACTCCAATACCTCCAGGTGAATACCTCCAGGACACACCTCAGGAGACGCTTAGAGCCAATCAGAGGGTTTAGCCCGTGCTGCAGAACCGTCAGCCTCATAAACTGTAACAATACACCAACTAAAACTTCCATATGACCCTACAATCAAACAATGTTGATACCTGTTTATCACCATGGCAACAAAAATAGAAGTCCCAGGCAGCCAGTGTCAGGTCATTTTTTTGTTCTTATTTAGCAAAAATTGCAGCTTAACTCCTGCACACTTACTACATTGCAAACATTGGCAACATGTCTGTCGGGAACCGCCGTAGAGAGTTCAGGTGTCACTGGACTCCTTCCTCTCCCACACACCTGTCACCTGTTCCCGCCGTGCAATAAATGAAGCTTCCAAAAGCAATTTGGTCAACCACAGCAGCTTATAGATTCTGAATTCACAATAAGGCAACAAGGTTTCGCTGTCAGTACGCCCTTTGAACTCACACGTTGCCTTGGCCTCGTCGTCATCTTTTTGTTATTGTTTGTCTTGAGAGCCCTCTGGTGGTGGAAGTTAGGACTCAGTTTCTTCCATGACAGAACTCAGAATCAGATCCTTGAGTCCAGTTTATGAAAGAAAGCAAGCATCTTAATTAAAAGACGTCCTAGGCGCCAAATACTTGGGGATTGTTTGTTACCAAAACTTGCAGGAACACTGCACATTGTGTAAACAGCACAAAAACATTTGTGTGTAAATAACTCATTGAGATCAGGATCTCTTTCACAAGGGTGACCTGGCCAAGAAGGCAGCAGCACACGCCATAAAAAGCATTTCATATTAAAGAGACAGTTTACAAACAATGAGTTAGGAGAGAACAACAATTTACAATGTGCAAATTGATTTACAGATAAAGTGCAGAATCTTGATCACAGATTACAATTCAGAAACACATCAGGCACTGTCCAATTGTCTCGTGTTTTTATATCTTTTAAGATCGAGCCAAAGGCTTCAAGCGAAATGAGCTCCGCCATTTTCAAATCATTTTGGAGAAAGTCCCATGTGGTGGGAGCAGCAAAACTAAACGCTCTTTTCCCGCTCTGTTTGATTTATTCCTCTCAGTTTAATGATAAAAAAAGAGTCACAGCTTTAAGACTAACAGATTATCTTGTTTTGAAACCAGTGGTATCAAAAAGTATGGCGGTTTAGAACGTCCTGAGCACCTCTGTGGTCACACACACTTAATGACGTTTTAACCCTCTGTGTCCCTGCTCAGTACCAGCAGGCTGTGCAGCAGTCTCTGCAGCTCCAGCAGCAGCAGCAGCAGCAGCAGCAGGCGGCTCTCCTCCAGCAGCAGCAGCACATGATGATGGCGCCCGTCTACCAGCAGCAGGTGGCTCAGGCTCAGGCTCAAGCTCAGTACGCTGCCATGGTGAGTCCCTTCACACCTCTCAACCTGCTGCTGCTGTAGTGGACTTCTTTATCTTAAAACTTCCCTTCTCGCTGAAGCTTCTGACAGAAAGTGCTGACAGGATGTGAGAGCAGGAGTCTGATCCAAAGCGGCATAAATAGTCCGACGAGCTGACGGTGAAACACATGGAGACGCAGCGTGAAAGCACAGCTCTGAGTCCTTCATTTAATGTCACAACGCCCTGAAGAGTGTCTCCGTTCAAAAACACTGGCAGTAGACTCGCTCGGCAGGCCGTGCCAAGCAGACGCTCGAACTTCCCACTGACTCGCTCCGAACACTCAGAAAACTCGTATTTACGCTGCGACTCCCATCAAACACACAAACACGGGTCCTCCACACACGCACGCACACGCTGTCAGGGCGGAGACATTTTTAGTCTGTTTCCCTCCGAACGAGCACCATCTGTTTTATTTCAGAGGCAATCTGTCCGAGGCGAGCCACGAGGGGACTGAACAGAGGGTGAATCAGAGTTTCTGTGTGCAGCTTCCTGACATATGAAACACACACACTCTGTTTATTCCCTCCATACCTGCTCAGGGTCCTCTCTCTCTCTCTCTCTCTCTCTCTCTGTCTCACACGCTCGCTCAGACATGACGTCATGCAGAGCTTCAAAAGAGTGAGCAGACAGAATCCGAGTTAAAGGAGGCCGAGCAAGATTGACTTTAAGATTAAGATCGAGTTTCAGATTAAGATTGAGTTTCAGATTAAGACCGACCTTCAGATTAAGACCGACCTTCAGATTAAGATCGAGCTTCAGATAAGGATCGACTTTAAAATTGGGATCAAACTTCAGATTAAGATCGACCTTCAGATTAAACTTGAATTTTAGATTAAAATCGAGTTTCAGATTAGGATCAAATTTCAGATTAAGATCAAACTTCAGATTAAGATTGAGTTTCAGATTGGGATCGATCGTTATAAAGGAGATTCATGTTTTTCAGTTTGTTCTTTCGTCTGTTTGACACCCCTCCCCTCACTGTGACCCTCTCCCCTCACTGTGACCCCCCTCCCCTCCCCTCCCCTCACTGTGACCCCTCCCCTCCCCTCACTGTGACCCCCTCCCCTCCTCTCCCTCACTGTGACCCCCTCCCCTCCCCTCACTGTGACCCCCCCCCTCCCCTCACTGTGACCCCCCCCCTCCCCTCCCCTCACTGTGACCCCCCCCTTCAGCTCTCCAAACCCAGAACTGATTTCTAACAACATTCATCTTTCTGATTCACTGTGAACCATAAAATCAAAGATCCTCCCTCATCCCCCCCTCCCTCTTCTCCCTCTCTGCCTCCCCCACAGCTGCACCAGTACCAACAGGCTTTTGTGCAACATCAACAACAACAACATCAACAACAACATCATCATCAACAACATCCTCCTCCTCCTCCTGCGGCTCAGCAGACGCTCCCCTACATGTCCTCCCCCCTCGAGTTTCAGATCCCGCTGGGCTCCTTTAGCTCCACCACGCCCTCTACTGGACCTGCTGCTGCACCTGTGCTGGTGGGGGGGCCGTCACCTGTGCTGGTTGGGGGGCCGTCACCTGTGCAGATCGGGGGGCCGTCACCTGTGGATCCATCATACACTAACTCCAGGTAAGGTCTCCTGAACATCTGGCTCCTATTGGTTGATCATGGGAGGAACCTTTAGGGACCAGGAACCGAGTGCTCCAGCTGTCCACCCTGCATCCTTGAATTATTTGCTTCTCTGCTCTGTGGTGCCTTTATTCTGAAGGCGGACAAACTGAAGTGTTGTGCTTTTATTTTGAAGGTAGACAAACTGAAGTGTGATGCTTTTATTTTGAAAGTGGACAAACTGAAGTGTGGTGCTGTTATTTTGAAGGTAGACAAATTGAAGTGTGATGCTTTTATTTTGAAAGTGGACAGACAGAAGTGTGGTGCTTTTATTTTGAAGGTATACCAACTGAAGTGTGCTTTGACGAGCTGTTGACTCAAATCTCAGGCTCGTCAGTAAACGGCTCGCATTGAGATTTTTCTCTGCTGTTGACAGAGGTCAAAGGTCAACATATACATCATGATGTGGATATTATTAATGCAAGTCTCACCTGTATGATGTCATCTCTGTCCTCGTGTCTCTGCAGTAGGAACTCCCTGCTGGCCTCAGACGGGGTCTCCCCCCCCTCTCAGAGCTGCGGCGCGCTCAGTAACCCCCCCGACATGTCGCACTGGAACCCGTTTGGAGAGGACAACTTCTCCAAGCTGACCGAGGAGGAACTGATCGACCGCGAGTTTGACCTGCTCAGAGCAAGCAAGTGACCTGTCAATCATTTTCACCTCCTTGTTTGTTTGTGTGATGTTAGAACAATGTTTCAGCTCCATGTCCATGGTCTAACCCCCTCTCGCTCTCTCTCTCTCTCTCTCTCTCTCTGTCTCTGTCTCTCTCTCTCTCTCTCTCTCTCCCACACAGACAAACCTGTGGAGCGAGCAGCCAGTGTGGAAACGGACCGCCCCCTGCAGACTAAGCCCCTCCCCCCTGAGGACCTGTTCGGCTCGGCCCCGTTTGTGGCGAGCACAGGCAAGTCTTAAAGGAGTCCCTGCTGCAGGACCCAGCACTGTGGAGCCCCCTTTGACCCCCTCCCGCTCCCCCTCCCCCACGTCCCCCTCACCTTTCTTAAACCAATGAAGCGTCAGGTGTGTGTTTGTGTGTCAGTGTGCAGGTGAGACAGCTGCTGGTGTTGGAGGCAGGTGTGAATCAATCCACAGATATCAGACGCGGGTCAGGGGTCAGATCACCAGAGACACTCACACACACACACACACACACACACACTTTAGTCCTTTTCAGACGCAGTATCTGAACTCAGCCGCCATCACGTCTTTATACGTTCATATTGATTCAGCCATGGGGTCATATTGTAATACACACACACACACACACACCGCCACTGCCTCTTGGTGCTTTATCAGTAACGTTGATAGCAGCAATAATCTTCTGTGTCATTAGTTCCGGAATCGTCTGTTACATTAGATTAAAGTTTTTACGAGATCGAGAGATTTAAAGACAAGCTGAGACGACGTTAGAATCTTAGATAAGTTAGAGATAGATGTTCGACTCAAACAACGTAAAGATGCAATAGAACCTCCGAGCACTTGAATGTCGGCGTGGGGAAATGTAAAATGTCTTCTGTTGGGACAAAACAAAAAAAGGAACCAAACAAGGTTGAAGGGACTTTTTTGTATTTTACACCCAGACAGTCTGGGCTCCGTCTAATTCCTGCAGGCCGGCATGAAAGAATCAGCACCGACTGATTTCTGATCGGCCGTAAAGCTTTGTGTGTGTGATGTCAGAGCGTCATCTGTATGTGTGTGTGTGTGTGTGCAGGAAAACCCCGTCACACTGTCTAGATTACACACACACATTCATCCGGTTAAGTAAACATGAGTGTTTTAGTTGCAGGTAAGTTTTCATCAGTTCACGGCTTCACTCAGTTCAGTTTTTTATTTTTGTGTGTTTTTTCATGTGCAGACGGCCGAGTCACAAACATCTGATGTGTTCTGGTGGAAGGATTTTTATTACTCTGATTAATTCAACTTTAAAGCCAAATAAAAACAATGATAGAGAGAAAGGGACGAGCAAGCCAATGAAGCTGCAGTGTTGGGACAGAAATCCCAAACGAGCAGACAGACATGAATCTGATGCATTTTATGTTTTCTTTTGGATTCATCTTCATCATGAAACTTTGGGACCCTTTTTGACTCCCACACGATGAGTCTGTGGTTAGTCTGTGTACTTTGGGCTCGTGCAGACGGATCCGGGGCGGATGAAGATGTCTGGTTTTGTTTGTGTATCAGCTCCTGTATCATCCTGTCGGTGTGAATGTATTCTCTTTATCGAATGTTACTGAGAAATAAAAACGCTTTCAAATCAAAGATTCACTTCGGTTCTTTATTTTTAATCCAGTTTAAAATCTCTCCACCACCTCACACCAGATGTTCCTGACCAACATGGCCGTCTCTGTCTGACCTCTGACTATCACATTTAATGTTTCACTGTAAAATAAACCAGTCTGAACAGGATTAGAAGCCGCACTAACAGGCGATCAAAGCTCATTGCAAAAAGATTGTTTTTAGGTAAAATAAAAATTATCTCGACTAGAATCTTAAAACAAAAAATCTGATCCTGCACCTTCAAACAAGAGCTGGGACAAAGTCAATGTTTACAGGTTACAATTAAGTCCCAAGTCTTTGTCTAAAGTCCTGAGTCAAGTCCCAGAAAAAGACAGGCAAGTCCCGAGTCAAGTCCAAGATAAATACAGGCAAGTCCCGAGTCAAGTCCCCGAGAAAGACAAGCAAGTCCGGAGTCAAGTCAGTCAAGTCCCCGATAAAGACAAGCAAGTCCCGAGTCAAGTCCAAGATAAAGACAGGCAAGTCCCGAGTCAAGTCCCCGATAAAGACAAGCAAGTCCCGAGTCAAGTCCAAGATAAAGACAGGCAAGTCCCGAGTCAAGTCCCAGATAAAGACAAGCAAGTCCCGAGTCAAGTCCAAGATAAAGACAGGCAAGTCCCGAGTCAAGTCCAGATAAAGACAAGCAAGTCCCGAGTCAAGTCCCCGAGAAAGACAAGCAAGTCCGGAGTCAAGTCAGTCAAGTCCCAGATAAAGACAAGCAAGTCCCGAGTCAAGTCCAAGATAAAGACAAGCAAGTCCCGAGTCAAGTCCAAGATAAAGACAGGCAAGTCCCGAGTCAAGTCCCAGATAAAGACAAGCAAGTTCGGAGTCAAGTCCCCGATAAAGACAAGCAAGTCCCGAGTCAAGTCCCAGATAAAGACAAGCAAGTCCCGAGTCAAGTCCAAGATAAAGACAGGCAAGTCCCGAGTCAAGTCCAGATAAAGACAAGCAAGTCTGGAGTCAAGTCCCCGATAAAGACAAGCAAGTCCCGAGTCAAGTCCAAGATAAAGACAGGCAAGTCCCGAGTCAAGTCCCAGATAAAGACACGCAAGTCCGGAGTCAAGTCCCCGATAAAGACAAGCAAGTCCCGAGTCAAGTCCAAGATAAAGACAGGCAAGTCCCGACAAGCAAGTCCCGAGTCAAGTCCCAGATAAAGACACGCAAGTCCGGAGTCAAGTCCCCGATAAAGACAAGCAAGTCCCGAGTCAAGTCCAAGATAAAGACAGGCAAGTCCCGAGTCAAGTCCCAGATAAAGACAAGCAAGTCCCGAGTCAAGTCCCAGATAAAGACAAGCAAGTCCCGAGTCAAGTCCCAGATAAAGACAAGCAAGTCCCGAGTCAAGTCCCAGATAAAGACAAGCAAGTCCGGAGTCAAGTCCCCAATAAAGACACGCAAGTCCCGAGTCAAGTCCAAGATAAAGACAGGCAAGTCCCGAGTCAAGTCCAAGATAAAGACAAGCAAGTCCCGAGTCAAGTCCCAGATAAAGACACGCAAGTCCCGAGTCAAGTCCCAATTAATGACGGGCAAGTCCCAAATCAAGTCCTGACTAAAGACAGACACTATCTCTGGTCAGTCAGGACTTGCCTAAGTAAAGACGGGCTCAAATCAGGTCCCCAGTAATGACAAGGAAAGTCCAGAGTCAAGTCCCAATACAGGCAGGTCCAAGATCAAGTCCAAAGTGAAAACAGGTGAGTCCCAAAACAAGTCCAAAGTAAATGCAGAAAAGTCCAGAGTAAACAATGCACCGACTTTGTCTCGTCTGTAGATCAGTTAAGTCCTCCTCATATCCACATCATGAACTCTTCATTAAGTAGAATTAAACTGAAATATAAACACACTTTTTAATAAACATTTAGGATTTAAATAGTAACAATCAGCAGGAGGGCCTCCACGATGAACAGATCTCACATTAGGCCCCTCCCCCACAGCCTGAGATATTAACCACACCTACACTTCCCTAATGACCCTTTTAAAGATTTACATGAAGAGGAAACGATGTATTCTTTGGGATAAAAAAAGAGCAGTCTTTCGTTTTCTTTCTCGGCCTTCTACACATTTGTGTCTCTGCGGATTCAGCCCGACTGTTGAGCAGGTTTTTCTGCGACTCTGACCTCTCTTCCTTCATTTCATCCGGACAGAGAACAATCACAGTTGTGTTTTTATCACTTATTTGTGTCTTAAAGAGATCAGAGTCAGCGTGTAATCCGTCAGAACACGCAGATCAGAGCGCAGTCTGTCGTCTCGTCCTGATTAAACACAGACACAGAGACACACACACATCTACACACACAGGCACACGCACACAAACATGCACAGACACTCACACACACCTATACACACAAGCAAACACACTCTCACACACAGATACACACACACACCTACACACAGACACGCACACACTCACAAACACAGGCGCTCACACACACAGAAACACACACACACTCACAGACACAGAAACGCACACACACACACACCTACACACACACACAGGTACATTAAGTGTTATCGGGGATCTCTGCATGTTTATTTTATTCCGAACACTTTAACGCAGCTCGTTTAATCTCGAGCTGTTGGCGAATCACGAGTCTCTTCGTGCCAGTTTGGACGGTTGTAAACACGGAGAGGTTTCAGCGTTCACAGCGGGGGGGCGGAGCCTCCTCTGATGGGGAACAATGCAGCTGGCTCGTTGTGAATGGAACTATTTCTTCTTGTAATTGGAGACTATCCATGTGCTAATTAGGCTCGTTTCAAAGTCGATTTTATGCAAATTTCTTGGAATTAAATTCACACAAATTTATCGCTTAAAGTCCAAATAAGTCTCAGAGTTTACGAGAACAAAGATTTATTCTTCATGAACAGAGAAAATCTTTTCAATCAGCAGATTAAAACATAACTTTATGGATCTCATCTCTCCGTCCTGTAAACCTCGCCGTCTTATCCCGTGGTCAGAGCGGAGACGCCCGAGCAGCTTTTACACATTTCAGCGCTCCTTCTGCTTCACTTTGAGGGCGTCCAAACGTAATCCTGATTACAGACGCCGTGCGAGGGGATGAAAACTCGTCCTTCTGTCACTCTGATTTATTTTAACTTGAATCATCAGGAGGGGGGCGGGGCTAAGAGCAATACTTGAAATTCACATGAAGAAGACACACAGACAGACAGACACACACACTCACACACAGACACTAAGTTTTATATTCTTGGTATCGTGACAAGCCTGTTAGGGACTTAAAGGATGTTTTTTTTCTGTTTGATTAACATTTCTATATCTGTGTTTTGTTTCCTGCAGATCCTGAAGTGATGAAGAACGAGCCGACCAATGAGGACGTCGGCGTTCCTGCTCCTGAATCAAACCCTGCAGACGCTAAAGAGCCGCGATCGGGAAAGAAGAGCCGAGTGGGAGACGAGTCTGACAGCGACTTTGAATCCGACCCTCCTTCTCCTAAGAGCAGCGAGGACGAGGAGCAGGAGGAGGACGAAGGCCTGAACAGCGAGCACGGTGAGGACACAGAGCCGGAGATTTCAGGACAGCGCCCCCTGCTGATGGACTCTGAAGAGGAGGAAGACGAAGACAAGCCCAGCTCAGAGTCAGACTGCGAGCGCGGCCGGGCCAAGACTCGCTCAAAGAAAGCCGCCGCAGCAGGTAAAGCGGCCACCAGGGGGAGCCCTCAGGAGTCAGGGATGATCACTCCTCCTCAGTCGCCCAGCAGGGGGCGAGCTGCTCCTGCTCAGGGGGCTGCTGTGGATGTGTTTGGTGCGGTTCCCTTTGTGGGAGGAGCTTCACCCGAGAGACCCGCGGAGAACTTGGACATCTTTTCCAAAGCCCCGTTCAGACAGGTGAGTCTGGAGCGGCGAGCTGCGGACGAGTTCGACGTTTTCACGAAAGCTCCGTTCACCAGAAATCGGAGTGGAGGAGACATCACCATGGGACAGACTCCGCCCATTTCTCCTGAAAGCATCGACATCTTTGGCTTCTCTCCCTTTCATCCCGGCCCGACAGACGCCCCGCCCACCACGTCCAGAAGCGCCGAAGACATTTTCCGACCGTCCCACGACGAGTCCTCGAGTCCTCAGCAGCAGAGGCTGAAGCAGCGCAGCCTCCAGAAGCTCTCGTCGCGTCAGAGGAAAACCAAACAGGAGCCGGCGGCGGGTGGCAGCAACGGGAAACGCCACCACAGCACGCCGACCGGAGGACGCAAGAGCAACAAGGCCACGTACCGCACGCCAGAGCGGGTCCGCAGAAACAAGAAGGTCGGACGCAAAGACTCGCAGAGCAGCAACGAGTTCCTGAGCACGTCTGACTCGAAGGAGAACATCGGCGTGGATATCACCATGGACCAAGGAGCCGCCCTGCAGGTCGACGACCCTCTGCTCGACCCGTTTGGAGCCAAAACCGTTCCACCCGCAGGACGCCGGCCGCTACCAAGGAATCCAGAGACCCGGAGCGACGACGCCAAAAACAAGTCCTGGAGTGGGTCTTTTCATTCCACCTTGGAGGAGGGTAAAGCGATGGATGATTTCGGGGCGGTGCCCTTCACAGAGATGGTCGACGGCGGTGGACCTCAGCAGGCTCCGCCCACACAGCCAGTGGATCTCGACCCGTTTGGAGCGGCTCCGTTTCCCTCCAAACAGTAACTCTAATAGAATCTTCCAGTGACGGGGTAACCTGAAGGAAACGTCGTCAGCCAATCATGAGAGGACGAGCTAACAGCCTAACTCTTAACACGCCGCTCGGCGACTAAACGGTGACTTCCTGTAATCGCGACCACATATCTGTCTGCTGAACGCCTTTTAATGCTGCATCATGAAGACGTCTGAACATCCGACGTTCGAGCGCTTCTCTCCTTAAAGCTGCCTTCTGTTTTTTAGCACCATGAAGCCTTACCTGAGCTGGGCCCCGCCCCTCTCTGCACAGCACCTCGTCGTCATGGCGTCGGAGGAGTCGTTAACCACTTTGTCCTTTTAGACGTTCTCTATGCAGACGGCCGTCTCCACACTGCCCCCGTGTGGCGGGTTTTTGTTTTGACTCTTTGAATAGAAAGGGATGGATTTAATCTGCTCTTTTAAATTTTAGGCTTTAACTGTTTCCTGTTTTCTAACTGTTCACTTTCTTTTTTATTAATAACTCGACACATTCTGTTCTGAGAAGAAATAAAACGTCACATCAGATCACAAGTCCACGTTTGTGTTTATCAAACTTTAGGGGACATATGATAAACTTCTACAGTGTTTTTTATATTTGAGTAACCTGAGAGTCTGCTGACCCACAACATGTGAAATAAACCATCCAGTCCTTTGTTTGTGGTCTGCATAAGTCTTACAACACAGAACAATGCTCTGTTTCAAATGTGTTCTGCTTGTGATGTCACAGTGGGATTCTGGTTAAAAAAAAAAAAAAAAAAAAAGGTACCCAGATTTAGACCCAGGTGGTACCCAGACGTAGACCCGGACGTAGACTCAAGAGGGGACCCACACGTAGACCCAGAGGTACCCATACTTATACCCAGTGGGTACCCTGACATATACCCAGAAGGTACCCAGACGTAGACCCAGAGGGTACCCACACGTAGACCCAGAGGTACCCATACTTATACCCAGTGGGTACCCTGACATATACCCAGAAGGTACCCACACGTAGACCCAGTTGGTACCCAGACGTAGGCCCAGAATGTCCGAGATGTAGACCCAGAGGGACCCAGAGGGTACCCAGACGTAGACCCAGTTGGTACCCAGACGTAGGCCCAGAATGTCCGAGATGTAGACCCAGAGGGACCCAGAAGGTACCCAGACGTAGACCCAGTTGGTACCCAGACGTAGACCCAGAGGGTACCCAGACGTAGACCCAGAGGGTACCCAGACGTAGACCCAGTTAGTATCTACCCGCTCTTAAAAAAGTCATACGTCTCGTTATTGAGATAATTTATGTCTTTAATTCATAAAAAAAGATTTCTTCTCAAACTTTGAAGTTAATAATGAAACAGCGGATTTGTATTTTCCCCTAATACTTTCTGTACATGGTGGACAGACCTCCTGCAGTGAGAGCTGCAGTGAGCCCTCTTTAAGATGGTGACCGTGTAGACACATCGCATCTACTTATCTACGAGGACGATACAAACACGACTCACTGAACACAAATAAGATCCTCGGACTACTCGTCTCATTTCTCTTAATACTGAGTAACTGTACTGATCGTTCTCTGAAATGTGCCGTTTGAGATATCAGCTGATGAAGAGAGAGAGCTTGTATTTATGTTCAGTGTCCTTTCAAAATAAAAGAAAGATCAACACTAAAACTGATTGTACATGACACAGACTGAGGAGGGACTTAAATATTTATAAACATTAAAAACTGTTTAGTGTTTCAGACACATTTACGTTCAGCTGATTTAAGAAGAAGAGCGTCATGATGCGTCAGCTGATCAAACCCTGCAGCTGATTATGACGTCTGTCGCTCTGCAGACTTTCAGTGTTCAGAGTCTGAAGAACAGTCGACAGTGTTCCCGCTCAGCCTGCAGGTCAGAGGTCAGATCCTCAGGTGGACCGAAGCCTCGAGCAGCGGAGAGAGAGAGAGAAACGCTCAGAGAGATCACGGAGTGCTACATCAGTGCATGATGGGAAACTCTGCAGCCAATCGCCGACCTAGAGACAGAAACACAAGGCGTTAAAACAGCAGATAATTCACGGGAACTTTAACAGAGCGGGGGTGAAAGGTCACTCTTTCTATTTTCTAATTTAACAGCCTTAGGTGTGACGATTTTACGTTTATCTACAAGGCCGACACAACGTTTGTCCAGAAACATCAAAGACAGAGAAATGAAAAGACGTGCTTACTGTCAGACAGCGCGAGGA